ACTTTTTGTTAGGTCAGAAATGCTGAAATTTGTAGTTAATTTGGTTAAACATGACAGACCTTAATATTTATACTAAACTTTTGTGTAATTATCTGCAATATAGGTCCATCTTCTCCCCAGCAATTGTCACAAATTTCAAAATTATTAATTAAATAAAAAAGTATAAAATTTCGGATTGAATGAAATCGATGATTCAATTCACATCGAATTAAATTTACAAGTTTAAAAATAATGACCCTTTATGGGGGAGGTACCAAAGGAGTGGACCAATGGGTTCCATCTTCGGATTTGATTCAGGCTTGATAAAGATAATATGTTGTGCAAAGTTTGGTTTAAATCGGACATTCCATTCGTCTGATATTGAATTTATAAATATTGAAAATTTTGACCCTTTGTGGGGGAGGTGGCAGAAGGAGTGGACCAATGGATCCCATCTTCCAACTTAATATAGGCTTGGTAAATATAATAGGTTGTATAAAGTTTGTTTCAATTCAGTTTCCATTCGCCTAATATTGGGTATCATCTTCGGACTTGATCTAGGGTTGGTAAATATAATAGCTTGTACATGTTTGGTTCAAAACGGATAGTCCGCTCGCATGATATTATAAAAATATTTTTTTGCAAACTTTGGACCATTTTCTCCATCTTCGAACTTGAACAAAGTTTGGAAGAAATATTAAGATGTGCAAAGTTTGGATGAAATCAATTATTCTCTTTGAGAGTTGTCGTTCGCACCAGCTGGTCAGACAGACGGGCGGACATTGCTAAATCGACTCCAAATTTTCTGAAACGAGCCTAAGCCTAAGTATAAAAATATGATGTATTGACGTCTTTTTCTTCAATATTTTGGGCCACATCAAAATTATTCTCAGTTGCTATGTAAACGTTTTGTTTTAGTAAACAAGATGAAAATATACAAACAGTATTCGTTTAGGTATTAGAATAAATGTTGAAATTATAATCACTAGTGTTATTACTTAACACTAAATTGCCGAAGTCGGTCATTTTGACCGTTTTTCAATGTCAAGTACAAAAACAATTGTGTATATTATGACCAAGCTTTTTAAAATTTGGTGACTTTTTGTACCACATAGAACTACGTTTATTAATCATAGTAGCTGCTTCCCCCCTCTTTCATTCCCCGTATTATATGCGCTATGCCTATATTGCCTAAAAACGGTCATTTTGACCTCTTGGGAAATTTTAAATAACCAAATGACTTTTATTATTGAATAAAGTAAATTTCTTATATGACCAGATCAGTACAACAAAATGAAAAACCGTTTGCTACTCTAGACACACAAACGAACACACAAATCGGCAAAAATCAATTTTATATTTCCAGTCGATTTCACTATTAGAGTAAACACTTACTCTTTTTTGAATGTTTTAACTCGTGCTCTTATTTTTCTAAAAGAGAAAATCGTGAGCCCTCCCATAGAAACCACTTTTTATAAATTACATAAAAAAAAACTCGGGAAAGTTATAATAATTTTTTCTTTAATTTACTATTTGCATATCACAACACTACTAGCATAGCCAGGACCCAAATGCTAAATGTCTAATTGTCAGTTAGTAGGTTAAAAAAAAGTATTCCCAAGGAAATTTTAGGCAATTAGTGTACAAATCACGTTTCATCATCATTTGGCAAAAATAATTGGCATTTACAGAATATATACGCGAAATATTATATCATTTCAAGCGATTGAAATGGATACAAGTTGTAAAATTTGCTTACTTCTATACACAACCCCACATACATTCCTGTGATCGAAATTATTTACAGCCATCTATCCCTGAGTTATTTTTTTTTATTCATTGGCATAATTCAATTTTTGTTCGATTTTGTTCATTGCTGTTATTTGCTTGCCACACAAATTGGCAAATATGTGTGTTTTTTTTATGAGGAAATTTTTTACTTGGTTTGTGATATACATGCATATTTCTGTTAATATTTGATCGATGACATAATGCTGCTTCCTATCCAACTGGCGATGGTGACACCAGCAGTCATTCTTTGCTTTTTTGTTTTCTTGTATTTCTTACCCTACTTAATGTCATATTGCGAATTATTTGTTACTTATGAATTCCATTTGATTTCATTTCAATATTTTCGATATGTATTATCATGGGGGTAACAAAGAGAATTAAACTGATTTGTTTATGGCAAAATTGGAAAATATTAAAAGGAATCATTTTAAAAATCTGCTCCAATTCCAATACGCTGTGAAACATTTTGTTTCAGCCGGACAAATATTGGCAATTTGGTGGATCTGTTACAAACATATACATAAAGACCTAATACCCCGTACCAAAGTGTGGTGAAGGGTAAAATGACAATAATTAATAAAAAATCTGCGATTGTGCCAGAGATATTTCTTTGAAAAATATACTTTAAAATCTCCTTTAAAAATATTTTTTAAATAAAATCCTTGAAGTTCTTTGAAATATATAATTTAAAAATTCCAGCAAATTATTTGAGGCATATACACTAAAACCCCAAACCTTTTGCCATCCTTGTCCTTTGAAAAGCATTCATTCAAAACCCCATGACTAGTTTCTTAAAAATATACCTTAAAAACTCTTCAGTCAGTCCTTAAAAAATGGGAAAAGTATTGTATTGTTTGTAAATGCTTTGTTAACCTCGAAGTGAGGCACCAACAAATTTCTCATGCCGTTTATTTCGTTGGGCATCTAAGTACTTCGCTTTGGTACAAGAGACATTTGGGTATGAAAGGCTTTTTTGTAAAGAAGCAATAAATAGCTTCTGGGGAGAATGTCCCAACAAAAACTAAGGGAACTGATGAGGATCAGTGGCGAGATCCGAAACTATAGTCTTCCCTGCCTTACCCCTCGGCTAACAATGCCATATATTCCCCACTAATAAATAGTTCTTTTTTTATAAAACAACAAACTGGGATTCAGCCTGACTATTTTGCAAAAAAAACATTAAAAATTCCACGGCCAGCCCTTTAAAAAAAAGTTCACACCTATAGCTCGGATTGTCCTTAAAAAAGTCATTTAAATCACCCACGCCTACAGCTCTCTAGTCCTTTGAAAAGTATTCGTTATAAAGTCCACGCATATAACTCGGCTAGTGCTTAAAAAATAACACCTTTAAATCACCCACGCCGGTAGTTCGCTAGTCCTTAAAATATCTTTTAAATAATCGAAGCCTGTAGTTAGCTAGTCCTTTGAAAAATATTCTTTAAATTAATCCACGCCTATAGCTCGGCTAGTCCTTTGAAAAATATTATTTAAATTAAACCCCGCCTATAGCTCGGCAAGTCTTTTAAAAATGTCCTTTAAATAATCCTCGACTATATATCTGATTGTCCTTTGAAAAATCATACTTTAAACCCACCCAAAACCATTTGGCTTTTGACAAAATAGATATTTCCATTAATCAATTTGGAAATTGCGTATTATTTCTCAAATCCATATCAAATTTCAAAATTTTCTTCTTCAAAAAGTTTAGAATTTTTTATCAGTTCTAGTAAGGAATAGTCAGATATATGGTTTAAATAATATATATTCTTGAAAGTAATTGTATATAGTGATAATATGACGTTTACTACATTAATTACATTTTATACAAGTATATGACGTTTTTGACGTTTACACCTTCTTGACAGTCGAAAACCTACAAATTCGTCACACGGACCATCCCTCCTCCTAAAGCTCGGCTAGTCCTTTGAAAAATATTATTTAAATAATCCTCGACTATATATCTGCTTGTCCTTTGAAAAATCATCCTTTAAATCATTCACGATTGGACTTAAATAGTCCTGAGAAAAATATCCTTTAAGGGAACCCCCCCCCCCCCCCCCACATTCTCGATTTTAATTTTTCAAGATTTTCAATGGGCTGGTAAATGAATACAAATGCTTGCTAAGGTTTGTAACTTTGCACATATATAATTGAAGATTTAAAAGAGAAGAAAAATAATTTACAAAAACTTTTTTTTATTCTTTTGTTGTTGTTTTTTGTAATTAAAGAAAAGTCCTTATTTTTGATGGCGGGCATGATAACTCCTCACTGGAACATCGGAATCCGAAAATTCCAACGGTGTTCGAAAGAGTACATGTCTGGCTCTCGTATGAACTAGGATTATTGACTTCGCTCTAAAATTAACAAAATGGTGGACCTTCGAAAAAATATTTTTGGAAAATCGCCGATTTTTTACCAAAAACCAAGTAAAAAAATAAGGAAGATCTTCACCGATTGGCTTTATCCTAGTTCATACGAGAGCTATACACTCCCAGAGAAACGTTGCAAAATTTGGAACCGATTAGATTATATGTTTTTGAGTTATCGTGCCCGCCATTCGCAAAAAAATGTTTAGAGAAAAACGCGTTTAAAGTTTGAGATTTTCACTCGAAATTTTGTAGAGACATTCTTTAATCAAATATTATATCAACAACAATTTTGAAAAAATCTTAAATAATTCACGCCTTTAGTCCTCTAGTCCTTTGAAAAATATCCTTTAAATAATCCATGCATTTAGTCCGCTAGTCCTTTGAAAAATATCCTTTAAATAATCCTCGACAATATCTCTGCAAAATCTTTAAAAATCTCCCGATATAATCCACGCCTATAGCTCGAGTAGTCCTTTAAAAATATCCCTTAAAAATCCACTCCTATAGCTCGACTAGTCCTTTGAAAAAAATCTTTTAAATAATCCACGGCCATAACTCGACAAGTCTTTTGGAAAATATTCTCCTCTTAGTCACCATATCAATTTCCTTCCACCCCAGACAAGTAAGTGCATCATTATGATGGTGACGATGGATGATCTGTCATAATATCGGATGTTATTCATTTAAACTCTGAAATTCTAAAATGAAAACAAACACGAATGAGCACAAATTTGAATTTAATCTCGTCACGTCTAATTGAGTTTTTGTGTCATAAAATGTGCAAAGTATTTCAAAATTTTACGTTGATTAAAGTTTTGAATACAATTTTTTAATTTCTCTGTTTTTTTTTCTTCTTTACAGAGAGCGTCAAATCCATTTTGGGCCGTCACACAAAAATTCTGGTCAAATATATGGTCAAGCTGGAAACAAAAAATGATAAAACAGAGAATCGAGTTTTGGTAAGTTTATGAAATAAAATTTTTAAATTTCTATTGGAGTTCAAATGAATTGGACAGTTTAATAAAATGCTGCAAATATGAGAGGTATTTAAGAGTTCATATTCCTACACGCTCCATTCAGAAGTCACAACCACATTATGGAAAATTTATTTGATAGTCTTTTTAAGCAAAACAAGTCCTTTGTGATTTTCAATCCTAAAATAACTATGGAACACTTTCACACTTCATGTATAGTCCTTTGAAAAATATTATTTAAAAATCCACGCTTTTTATCGGCTAGCCCTTAGAAAAATATTCTTTAAATCATCCTTTGAGGTTTTCAGTCCTTATAAAAGTATAGCATATATATGTATGGAGTTCATTTATGACGCAGATGTTATATCCTTTACTATAGAATACCACTTTCACTCTTCATATATATACAGGGCATTTTCGATGTTCTTCCAGTGAAGTTTTCGTTACACTTTATATTATAGAAGTTTTATACAGATATTTCTATTCCCTCCACGATTTCACATATAATAGAGCTGTTGTCCACTATCCGATTTTATTTTTTTCTATACCAATAAATTTTCTTATCAAAATATAAAATCGCTTGGCGTTAAAAAAAATCTTATCTCAGGCATTTCATCAAATTACAATTTGATTGAGTGCATCGAAGAAACGAAAAGGCCAAAAACAATTTGCTATTGAAAGCTCATCTCCAAGTATAATGCTATGCCTTCAATACATATGGCGCGCAGCAGCACCAGTGGCAGACTAGCAGTCAGCTACATGTTTTGCAGACTTGCAGTGCTGGCTGCTCTGGCTAACATTGATGGCGTGTTAAATGCACAACTAATGTTCAATCAATTAATTTTAACCAAATTTCCACTTTGCGAACAACATTTGTGGCCAGTGTGTTTGGATGCGAATAATCATCGTCAATAAACAAAGCAACAACAACAGCAACAAATATTAAACCAAAAATAAAAAACATTTGATGAACTATGTGATGTTGATGATTCTATTTTCCATTTTACAGTTGGTTGCATGATGGCTCATGATGATGATGATTATGCTAGTCGAGTGTGTGGTTATGAGTATTTTTTGGAGGTGGCGAAGGTGATATGGCCAGTGGTTTTATGGCTGTCATTACTTCTTCTTCAAACTCGCTTAACATTTTTATTTTGGAGTGTGAAGTTTGTATTGTTTTTCTTTCGTGTTGTATTGTGGCAGCAGAAGCAGCAGCTCAATCATGGACATGATAAATTATTGTTGCATGGATAAACATTTACACCCTTCACTAATTGCACACAAAGGTAAAAACAACAAAAACAGCGGGAAAATGCGAATGATGATTGCAATTATTTGAATGGATATGGGTATGGATATCAGATGATTTTATTAAGAATTGGGTATCAAAAAATTCCCCTTTAAAAATCCAAGCCTATAGCTTGACTAGTCTTTTGAAAATTAGTCTCTAAAAAACCCCGCCTATAGCTCGGCTTGGCCTTTGGAAAATATTATTTAAAAATCCACGCGTAGGATCGGTTAGTCCTTTGAAAAATCCACACCTATATATCGTCTAGTCCTTTACAAAATAATCATTAAAAAATCCACGCCTAAATATCGGCTAGTCCTTTGCAAAATATTCATTAAAAATCCACGCCTATAGATCGGATAGTCCTTTGCAAAATATTCTTTAACAAATCCACTCCTGTAGTCCTAGTCATTTGAAAAATAATCTTTGAAATTCCAGGCTTATAACTCATCCTCTGAAAAAAGTATTCTTTAAAAAATCCTTGGAAAAATATACTGCTTCTGGCTTCTATAGCCTAAAAAATCCTGCCATATAGCTCGGTTGGTCCTTTGAAAAAATATTCTTTAAAAAGCCACACCTATAGCTCGGCTGCTTCTTTGAAAAATATTCTTTAAAAATCCACGCCTATAGCTCGGTTGGTCCTTTCTTTAAAAATCCACGCCTATAGCTCGGCTGGTCCTTTGAAAAATATTCTTTAAAAATCCACGCCTATAGCTCGGTTGGTCCTTTGAAAAATATTCTTTAAAAATCCACGCCTATAGCTCGGCTGCTTCTTTGAAAAATATTCTTTAAAAATCCACGCCTATAGCTCGGTTGGTCCTTTGAAAAATATTCTTTAAAAATCCACGCCTATAGCTCGGATGGTCATTTAAAAAAATATTCTTTAAAAATCCACGCCTATAGCTCGGTTGGTCCGTTGAAAAATATTCTTTAAAAATCCACGCCTACAGCTCGGTTGGTCCTTTGAAAAAATATTCTTTAAAAAGCCACACCTATAGCTCGGCTGCTTCTTTGAAAAATATTCTTTAAAAATCCACGCCTATAGCTCGGTTGGTCCTTTGAAAAATATTCTTTAAAAATCCACGCCTATAGCTCGGCTGCTTCTTTGAAAAATATTCTTTAAAAATCCACGCCTATAGCTCGGTTGGTCCTTTGAAAAATATTCTTTAAAAATCCACGCCTATAGCTCGGATGGTCATTTAAAAAAATATTCTTTAAAAATCCACGCCTATAGCTCGGTTGGTCCGTTGAAAAATATTCTTTAAAAATCCACGCCTACAGCTCGGTTGGTCCCTAAAAAATATTTTTTTAATAACCACGCCCATAGCTCGGGTAGTCCTTTTAAAAATGTTCTCTAAAAAATCGGTCTTTGAAAAATATTCTTTAAAAAATCGACCTTGAAAAATATTCTTTAAAAAATCCACGCCTAGAATTGACTAGTCCTTTGAAAAATATTCTTTAAAAAATTCACGCCTAGAATTGACTAGTCCTTTGAAAAATATTCTTTAAAAAATCCACGCCTAGAATTGACTAGTCCTTTGAATAATATTCTTTAAAAAATCCACGCATAGAATTGACTAGTCCTTTGAAAAATATTCTTTAAAAAATCCACGCCTAGAATTGACTAGTCCTTTGAAAAATATTCTTTAAGAAATCCACGCATATAGTTCGGTTAGTCCTGTGAAAAAAAATATTTTTAAAATATTCTTTGAAGAATATCCTGCTTCTGGCTATTATTCCTATCCTATTTCCCGAATATCACTTTGATAACTACTTCTTAAATAGTTTTCCATATCTTCAAATCTTCTTAAGAACCTCTTTTGAAATGTAAAAAACATGCCAACGAAGTCAATGAACCCAATCTCAACTCATTTTTAAAATCGAACAGAGAAACATTCTAATATTGCACAATTGCAAAGTACAACATATTTGTGTTTCTTGCTGAATGAATAGCTTTGTAATGATTGTCTGTTGTAACACTTGAAGATTGTGTGACATCCTTCCGTCCGTCCTTCATTCCTTCCTATCACAGGATAAACTACTTCAACATTTTCAGGCTATGTTTGTTCGTTCCAATGGTTCGACAAAAACTTCTTCAAACTTTAGCTGCACCCTCCCCTCCCACCTGTTCGTTACCACTATCAAACAAAAACTTTCAAATGAAAAATCTTAAGAGGAACGATTTCTGTTGAATCTGTGTTCATTGTTTTTTTTCCAAAGTAACAACACTTGCTGGATGATGAGGAGATGGATGGATGGGTGGGTGGTGTTAGGAGGTCTAAGTTTTTCCAAACAATAATACTCAGTAAGTGTTGTAAGAAAACTTTTCTGCGAAAAGTGTTGTCATCGCAAACAAAAACAACAACTTCTAAACATACAAACAAACATTTATTCATTCCTGCACTCAGTCATCCATACTTTAATTCATTTGTTTCTACGCCTGTAATTCCTCTTCCGCCTTGTTTCCTCTTTCTCATCACAGTTGAAATGCTTTTCTCAAGAAATTACAAGTTTTTTTCTTCCGTTTTTTTTTCTGCGTTTTACAAAAATAGCAAAATAATATTTTCATAGTCAAGCGCCTTCATTAGTTCGTTCATTCATTCATGTCATTGTTTATTCATAGCAAATACGATTACTTTCGTTTCTTCTTCAGCTTATTGTCATAAATATTATATTACAAATACGCGTACACACACACAACCGCAAACAGCAGCAGCACACACATCCTGAGATATATGTGTGTGTGTGCCTTGCTGTGTTTGTCACTGCGTCTTGTCATGATTCATGGGATCCCATAAAAAAAACAAAAGTTTTCGAAAATTTAATTAACAATTGCAAAAGTTATCATCATCAACCGACATTTTATTATTTAATGGTTTATCAGTTTTAATTAACGTAACCCAAGTTTAAATTTCGAGGAGCAAAACGTTCAGAGCATAAAACTATTGCTTAATAGGGTTATTTTAAATTAAAATATTTTTTTTTTCGAAAAATAATGTTAAAGGATAAAGAAATTAACTTCGTCACTCAAATGCATCATATTGACACATCTTTTCCAAAGCCCATATGCCCTATACGGGCCATTGGTTTTCATTTTTGATACCAAGATCCTCACTCTAATTTCGCCAGAAAATAATGTGGGCGTGGCCTGGACGGTAGCGATATTCTTGACACTTCGACCAACATGTTGCCTTACTGACATGGCAATATTAGCGAGTATGCCAATTCATATTCTTCCTCTAAAGTTTTTAAAGCATGCATATTGGGCGCTCTTAAAATCGCGGTCACCGCAGTCATATAAAATGAGCAAAACAATAGGCTGTCGGAAACACCGATTGTCACTTTTTCTTAGCTCCCACCATATTCCGTTTCTAACACCTCTACATAATCTTCTCATAGTAATCATTTGGTATCATTTTGATTAAATATAAAAAAGAACTTCGGAACGCATTATAAATTTGGCGTTACTTAGAAACCTCTAAGCGTATTAGTATTGACATCACTAATACGCTACAGATTCCTTATTACACACAATAAACACATGGCGTGAATAAGATTTTCTATTTTAGAAAAAACATTCCCAGGATACCACTGTTCGAAAACTACAATTTTTTTCAATGGGAACAATCAGTTCAGGAATTATTTCTGAACTGATTTTGTTGTCGTACTTACACGGCAATATCACACAGCGAATATGTCGATTAATAGTCTTCCTCTAAAGTTGTTAAATCATGCATATAGGGCGCTCTCAAAATCGCGGTCTCCGCAGTCATATAAACAGAGCAAACTTTTTCTTAGCGTCCACTATATTCCGTTTGTAACATCTCTCATAGTATATTATAGTTATATGTCCTCCTGACAATATTTTGTTAGAAAACAATCTATGTCCTTCACCTCTCTGTGTATTATAGAAAAAAACACTGCAGTCCCTCTGACTTATTATTTTTCTCAACATCGAAATTCGCAAGTCCTCATGACAATTTATTTGAAAAAAAAAATTATTGCCTTTTTACTTAGGAAAATATATTTTTTAATGGGACTACGGGTCATATAACTATTATCACAATGTAAACTTCTTATTGAACCTCAGTATGTTTTCAAGCATCTATTTTTATCTATAGAAAAAATCGGTGATTAGGACTTGCCTTCGGGAATCATTTTGTCTATAGAAAAAATCATTTTTATAGAAAAAATTCGTCGTCCCTCTTCTCTACAGAAAAAAGGAATTGAGTCCCTCGGCACTATTTGTTTCTGTAGCGAAAAAAATCGCATGTCCTCTGAATGATTTTTTTGATAGAAAAAACCAGTAAGGAAAGTAGTAAGGTCGGACGGGGCCGACTATATGATACCCTTCACCACTATGGGTATATTAAAGAGGACAATTAGCATGAAATCTATAATAAAAAGGTCTATATCTATCTAAATCTGGACCGATTTTCACGAAACTTGGCAGACATCATTCTAGACCTAAATGATTAGGCTGTACCAAATTTCGTGCAAATAGAAAAATATATAGGGACTTTGGGGCACCATTTACATGAAATCGGACGAAACTATATATGGGAGATATATCTAAATCAGGACCGATTTTCATGAAACTTGGCAAACATCATTCTAGGCTCAATTAAGTACGTTATGCCAAATTTCGTGCAAATCGAAGGATATATAGGGACTGTGGTGCACCATTTACATGAAATCGTACGAAACTATATATGGGAGCTATATCTAAATCTGGACCGATTTTCTCGAAAGTTGGCAGACATCATTCTAGGCTCAATTCAGTACGTTGTGCCAAATTTCGTGCAAATCGAAAGATATATAGGGACTTTGGGGCACCATTTACATGAAATCGGACGAAACTATATATGGGAGCTATATCTAAATCTGGACCGATTTTCTCGAAACTTGGCAGACATCACTCTAGGCTTAATTCAATACGTTATGCCAAATTTCGTGCAAATCGAAAGATATATAGGGACTTTGGGCACCATTTACATTAAATCGGACGAAACTATATATGGGAGCTATATCTAAATCGGACCGATTTTCTCGAAACTTGGCAGACATCATTCTAGACCTAAGTGATTAGGCTGTACCAAATTTCGTGCAAATCGAAAGATATATACGGACTTTGGTGCACCATTTAATTCAATTCTGTACGTTATGCCAAATTTCGTGCAAATCGGTAGATATATAGGGACCTTGGGGCAACGTTTACATGAAATCGGACGAAACTATATATGGGAGCTATATCTAAATCTGGACCGATTTTTACGAAACTTGGCAGACATCTTTCTAGTCCTAAATGATTAGGCTGTACCAAATTTCGTGCAAATCGAAAGATATATAGGAAACGTTTACATTGAATCGGTTAAATATATATATGGGAGCTATATCTAAATCTGAACCGATTTTTCCCAATTTCAATAGGGTTCGTCCTTGATAAGTGACCTATGCCAAATTTCATCCAATTCGGATCATAAATGCGACCTGTACTTTGTTTACAATTTAACATGGACAGACAGTAACGGACGGACATGCATAAATCGACTTAGAAAGTGATTCTATGTATATTCTCAAAAGGAACCATGGGTCTATCTCGATTATTTTTGCCTGTTACAAACATATGCACAAAGACATAATACCCTGTACCACAGTGTGGTGAAGGGTATAATCATTGTCCTGCAATGATATGTTGTTGTTGTTGTATGTTGCCATTGGTCTCCGGGTCGTATAATTATTATCTCAATGTATACGCTTCAATGGCCCTGTTTATTTATTGAAACACATATTTTTTCTATCTTTGCGTAGGACATACCTCGGGAGTAATTTTGTCTATAGAAAAACGGGTCATATATTTATTTAAATATTTTAAGTCTCCGGGTTGTATAACTATTATCACAATATAAATAAAAAATCTATTTTGCCGAAATTGTGTTAAAAGTTAACAATCGACTCACACCCTACAAGAGACAGAGGAACTTTTAAAACTTCTCAATCAGAGTATGTAAGAGATATTAATCTGAAAAATTTTTTTCACAACAATAGCGAAGAATTCTGCATCTTTAACTCAAAAATCACAATTTTTGATTTATTCCACTCACCGATTGTGACTAGTTTCGCATTCCACACTTTCTTTATTTCATCCGCTGTATTTAAAGTTTTATGAATTGCATTCATAAAATGAAGAATTTTCGACATTGTCAAGATTATATGAATGCTATTCTATAATATACGAATTATTTTTTCTGTACTTTTTTATCTGGATATTAAATTTAAAGCTTTAATACCATTCGATTTTACTTTGTATCTCCAACAACTTCTACTTCGTCTTAGCCCTTATTATTGATTATCGCAGACGTTGTCGTCATTCTGCTTTAGCCTTTTTTATTCCCTCTTTACTTCTTCAATGACGGCATCCTTACAATATATTTTGTCTTGATGTTCATTATATTATCCTCATAATAGTTAGAGGCTATTATATCCACTATTATTTGTTTCGTAAAATGAAAAAAGGAGTCTTCTTTGTTTTCTTCTACACCGACAATGTTTCTAGCTGAGCTCCGCACTTAGAGTCGATTTTGTAATTTGTTGTTGTGTGTACATGACGACTTATGCGCAAATAAAACTTAATTAAGGCAATTGTTGTCGTTGGTAATTTGATAGTTTTCTGTGTGTGTTTTTCTTGTTTTCCGGAATTCTCTCCTTTCCATTGCCTTCTCTTGGATATATCCTGCCTGCTTTTGTTTTTATTAGGTGTAGCGTTTTTACAAGCGGGTATCCCCTTGTGTGTCACCCAGCCAACAAGGATAGACGTTTGTCTGTCTGTTGTTGTCTGTCATTTAACACCTGAATTATTTTAAGCCTTTAAGTTTATTAGCCATTGTGTTGTTTGTTTGTTTTTTGTTGTTATTGTTTATTGTTTTGACATGGCAATAATAGTTATTTAATAAATTCTCACCATTCCCTTAATGTGAAATGTATACGTTTTTTGTTGTTTTTGTTTTGTTTGTTTTGTTGTTTTTTCTAAGCTGCATTGTAACGATGAAATGTTTTTTTTTTAGAGTTTTGGGATATTAACACTCTATTTGATGATTGTTTACAAATTATTTGAGGTCAACTATTGTGGGACATTTTTAAATCAACTCAGTAAGGAAAGTAGTAAAGTCGGGCTGAGCCGATTATATGATACCCTTCACCACGTTGGGTACATTCTACATATGTATTCTAACAGAGTCGCCTTTTCGAAGGAACATTGACATGAAAATGAACGAACTTAAAAATGTGATCTTTATCTATATGTAAACCGACTAACATCAATCCCTACTACACATACCATTCTCCAACCTATGCTAAATTTTGTAAAACGATTTAAAGCAAACACACGCTGTTCGGTGTGCTGCACTGTTCAAAATTTAATCTCAATCAGACACCCTTTGAGTATTTAGTGTACAATTAACATGAATAGGTCGAAATTATATATGGAATCTCCAGACTTAATTTAGACGCTATGCCAAATTTCGTGCAAATCGAAAGATATTTATGGACTTTGGCAGCTATATCTAAATCTGAACCGATTTTCACGAAACATAACACACATAATTCTAGATTTAATTCAGTACCCTATACCAAATATGGGAGGTATATCTAATTCGGAACCGATTTTCACGAAACTTAACACACATCATACCATACTCAATTCAGTGCGCTATGCCAAATTTCGTTCAAATCGAAAAATATATAGGGACTTTGGTACACGATTTACATTAAATCGGACGAAAATATATATCGGAGCTATACCGAAATCTGAACCCAATTTCAGTAGGGTACATCCTTGAGTCAAAAAAAAGGGCTGTGCCAAATTTCATCCAATTCGGATCATAAATGCTACCTATACTTTGTTTAGAATTTAACATGGACAGACGGATGGACATGCATAAATCGACTCAGAGAAATCGTAGAGAAAAATCCATGCATAAACCCCAAAAAAAAACGAATAATCCGATCTGAGTTCGTTCAGGAACACGAAAAAAAGGATTTTGCACTTTGAAAATCTGTTATTTTTGCTGATGAACGCAAATTTAACTTGTTTGGGTCGGATGGATCATGTAAGGTATGGCGCAGGGCGAATAAAGCCGGGGATCCTAAGCACACAATTCCGACTGTAAAGCACGGAGGAGGTTCTGTAATGGTATGGTGTTGTATGAGCGCAGTCGCAGTAGGAAGTATAGTTTTTAAAAGGAATTATGGATACGATTTATTGTTTAAACATTCTAATTTATGTTTAGCCTTTGCAGAAAATCTTAATAAACTAGAAAGTATAAAAATTCTTTTAATCTTTCGAAAATTAGGTTACCTTCATATTCAATTCGTTTAAAATTTTATGAATGAATGATAATAAGAGTCTAACTGAAACTTGTCTACAATTGTGAATGACATCACAATGGAACAATGAACTCATATTTGGAAGCAACAAACGGATAAACACAAAATTCATTTAGAACTCCCCCGTGGTGGTCACTGACTGACAGACTCACTGCCTTGACTAGTAAAAGCTATGAGCGGACTAACTAACAAATGTTTTTTTATCTCTTTGTTCCATTTTCAGGTCTTTACACCAGTGCGCATCTATTTGCTTATTGCAAAAGTTCCCACAAAGGTAATTATGTTCTTCAGTGGTTGTTGCTTAGCAGTAGTCGTTGTTGTTGTTGTTGTTATTCGTCTTTTTCTCCACAAAAGCCCATTAAATGGATAAAAACGCCGGCAAAGTGCAGGAGGAGGAAGGCGAATAACATAAATTTTATAATAATAAATATCTTATTAACACAAACAATTTTTGTATGCTTCTTTTATTTTCTTACACATTTATTTATATGGTCGTGGCTGGTTGGCGTCTGCCGCTTTGCTTGCAATCACCTCCATCATCCAACTGACCCAATTCCGATGGCGGCTGCCTCCAATAGATTGAGTGCCATTTCCATTATTTGGATATCCAAGCGGTTGAAAGTAAAAAGCCAACACATTTTTCAATTATTACCAATGATCGTCCGTATAATTTTGCCACAACCGGCGATGCTGGCAATTTCAGTACGGTAAGTGGAATTTTAAATATTCTAATATTGAATGTTATTAATTTGGAATATTGTTTTTTGTTTTTCTTTCCAAACATGCAGAGTGCAGATGTTATCTTAAGCGATTTGGCCTCGGCCATAAAACACATTTTTCCAACAGTTCCTTTAAAGTATATTATAAGGAAGGTAAGTTGAATTAAAATATACAAAAAAAGTTTAAACATCCTCATTTTAACCAGAAAAAAAACAACTATTCTCTGTTTGAGGGAAGAAAACAATAAAACTAGAATCAGGAGTATAACAAAAGCAAAAAAAAAACACCATTAACAGCACACCAAGTTTTATAGTAGTAACAACATTAAGGACACCTTCATAAAATGTTAACACCCCAACCAACCGCCACTGCCCTCCCAATTTTTCGTTACATATGTTTAGCACAAAGAACTTTTCTATATAACTACAAGGAAAGTCAACCTTTATCCCATGTGTGTAATTGTTGATGTTACATACAAACATACATATAAATTAAATAAATGTATATATATATATATATGTTTGTATGTGTGTGTTTGTGTGTTCTTCATACACACACATTATGCATTTTTTATGAAACATCTTCTCTCAAAGAAAATACAAAGTTGCTGCTAACAATCACAACTCTCCAGAGCTTTGCCACAGCATGTGGATGGTGGTAACTTTATTTTATTAAAATATTTAATTTTGTAAAAAGGACGAGAAAACATCAAAAATAAATTCAAAGCGATATAATAATGGTTTTGCATAAATATCATATAAATATAAAAAGAAAATTCGTATAAGGAAAATTGAAAATAAACTAAAAAATCTGATGGAAACATAAACATATTCCTTAATAATCCTTATTTTGGGCACTAAAAATTATTTTTAAATCAATAAATTCAGGTCTGATATTACCTTCAGAAACAATAAGAATGTTGTTCAAATGGGGGTTTCAATTAACTTCAAATGAGCTTATAAAATATTGACCCTTTGTGAGGACCCTTTGATTGACCCTTTGTGAATGCCGACGGGTCCCACCTTCGGACTTGATCTAGGCTTGGTATAGATAATGGGCAGTGCCAAGTTTGAATCAGATCGGACATGGCTTTCGGCTAATATTGAATTTATATACATTGAAAATTGATCCTTTATGGGGTACGTAGCAGAAGGAGTAGACCAATGGATCCAACTTCGAACTTGTTCTGGGTTTGTTACTGATAATATTTTGTACAAAGTTTGATTCAAATCAGACAGTCCATTCGCCTGATATTGGATTAGTAAATAGAGAACATTTTGATCATTTATGGGGGAGGTACCAGAAGGAATGAATCAATGGGTATCATTTTCAGACTTGATCTAGGCTTGGCAAAGACAATCGGTTGTACAAAGTTTGGTTCAAATCGAACATTTCATTCGCCAGATGTTGGATTTATAAACATTGAAAATTTTGACCATTTGTGGAGGAACGAGTGGACCGATATTCCCATCTTCGAACTTGAAGTAAATTTGGAAGAAATACTATGATGTGCAAAGTTTGTAAGAAGTCGGTACTCCCTTCGAGAATTATCGCGAACCGGCCTGCCAGACAGATGGGCGGACATTTGTAAATCGACTCTAAATTTTCTGAAACGGATTTGTTAACAAAAAACATGGGATCTAAAACCAATATTTAGATGAGGCACATTTTTGCGTATAAAAGAGTATATACTCTCATTAGCCATATTATGGCAGCATAAGCCAAGTGGTTCGGCAGTTCCATTATGTTTACCCTATATTTTGGGCAAATACTCGGCTTTGTTCCACTTCTTGCTGGCAATATTTTTAGGTTTTCCTGTTTTCCACACCTTTTAAATTTACGGCAAACACTCGATATTTTTACCATATACTTCTACGAGATGTAGTCGATATCGAATACCGTCATACAAACATCTCGATATCGACTGTCATAATTTACCCTCCAACCTTACTCCTAAAATACAAATTTGTGTACATCCAAAGAATGTGGATAAAGCCATACATAAAACTATATCGGACACGAACTAGTGATACTCTACAACTACCACTCTAACTTTCTGCGGATCTATATTCCGAGTCTGGGCAATATTTCTTGATCGATTAGCTCATATTTCTTAGCCTGGCATATTTTCTTAATGAACATTTTTGCCTTATCATACAAATACACAAATGTCTGGGACCGGCTGAATATTATCAAAATAGTCCCTCCCATTAGTTGACAAAAAAATTTGTTGTTGTAGAAAAACAGAAAAAATAAAGTCAATGTTATCCCCTAAATATCATCCGATCACCACCAAAAAATATAGATTTTGTCCTTGACTATAACGGGAACTGCATGTAAAATTTCAATATTTACGTATAACTCCCTCATCTGAGTTCATACATCAATGTAATTGGTATCAATTTATAGGTCAACCACTTCTCTTGGATATACTTATATATACACTTCTCCGGTCTATGTTCTTCAGGATAGATATGTACGCCCTAGAATGCACATTTTGCCACTTTTCACACAAAAGTCTGGGCCATTTGCCCTGCTAAATACTGACCAATTATCATGAAATTCTTGGTCAACCCCCTTTCTCTTTGTAAAGTTTCATGATGTTCGAGACATAATTGTAGCCTCTAGAGTGTCCAGAAAAAAGAACAGACAAAATAGAGTTTTTGGTCCATTTGAAGGAAAGGACTTACATCTTACAAAATTTCATGACGCTTGATCCATAACTGTGGCATGTATCTTGTTTACAAAATATAATGAACAGACGCGGAAGGACACACATGTTTAGACCGACTCAGCTAGTCGACATATGACGATCGATATACTTAAAGGTGGGACTATGTCCAATATTTTGCGGCGTAACCTGACATTATTTTATTTAAAAATCATTTTAAAAAATCGAAATACTTTAATTTATATTTTTAAAATTTTCAATGTTCCGAAAAACTAGTTCAATTGAAAAAAAAATAAAAAATTGTATTTTTAGGTTTTTTATTATATAAATAGCTGATTTAGTTCATCAGATGAGATATTGATGTAATCTTATGAACCCCTACATTTTGAGGCGTATATTTCAATGTTTTACAACCATTTTGACAAATTTAAATATATAAATAGTGGGGCATATAACATTAGAACCCATTATCCTTCTCAAATTTTTAACTGAAGTCCCAAATTATTTATATTATTTTAATCTCAGCAATTCATCATAACATTGCATCAATCACATTTTAAAATCAGTCTGCCTCTTTGCAACATACGTATTTGTCATCATTTATCTATCTTGCATTATATTTAACAAAATGTATTGTGATTAATGCTTTATCTGTCTCTGCAGTGTGTGTGTATGTCCCAGTCGTCGATTAACCTCTGACGTCAGAGGTTCTCTTTTATCTATTCTTAATTAATTTCCATTGATAAATTGCCACATTATGTATCTCCCCGAACAACAAGCGCACGCAAATGAAATATCAATGCAGGTGTTGTAGGGCAGCATAGGTAGAACATATACTCGAACATGGCAGCAGAGTATAGTTAAATAACATAAATAAATCCTTATACAAATCTTACTGACATACAACAACCACTTTAGGAAAAAATCTAAAATATATTTATGTACCCTACATTTATAGTAAAATATTTTCAATTTTATTTCGATATAATAAATTTGTTTCTAGGAAAATAACAAATACTTGCAAAATCCTTCAAATTTAATATATATTCTCTTTCTAACCACCACTATCACCAAAAGCCACACCTCTCACACAAAGGATTACATTCACAGACATTTATCATTCTTACTTCCCATTGACATAAAGACCCATATTAATTGTTAATAAATGATCCCGAAAAAGGCCACATGTTAAAGATTACATTTTTGCTGCTGTTGCTTCCCATTCTTCTTGTTGTTTTTTCCGTTTTTTTGTCTTCTATAAGCATTCTCGTATTGTTGTAAGTATTCTTTATTTAAAATATTCAACTCTGTCTGTCGGTCAATCGGTTCTTTAACCCAATTACAATAAGTTGAACCAACAGCCAAAGGCTAATTGATGAAGAGTTTAATATAATGTCGGATTGCAAAAATAATAAAAAGAGAGCAACCCACCAATGGATGATTCAAATTGTACACAAATCGAATTGACCGATTGACTGACTATCTGACTACATGCCTATTGACTAAGTAATTGGCATTGTTCAATGATTCCGATGGTATGTAATTCTTGGAGATAATCGTGTGTAATACTTAATGGCGATGTTACACTGGACAAAATTTGACAAAAAATCTACGTAAACGTAAAGCAAAGCAAAAGGAAAATAGATGGTCTTAGAAGACCATATGAAAAAAAACTCATCTAGTAGTAAATTCTTTGATAAATATATATCATTGTTTGAGATGCTGAGATTTTTAAAACACAAGATAAATACCTTTTATAAAAATTTACTTCGAAAACATAGTCAAATTTTCTTCAATCAAAAACGAAATTGTTCTTCCCAAGACATTTAGAAATAATCACTGAAACGAAGTCAGAAGATTGAAAAATGTATTTTTGTATCTGGTATTTCGATGAATGTAGTTCAATAAGAAATTATTGCAAATACATCTTTATTTGTTGGAAATTTTCTCTGTGTATTTGAATTTATATCTATTGGTCTGGCTAATCACTAAAGAACATTGCCATTGCAGAATTTACTATGTTATTTGCATTCTAAAAAATAAAATTAAGTCAATATTACACTTCATGAAACATTGTTGTGACAGCTACAATTTATCGAAATATCGCTTTTAGAACTATCTTTGGACCAAATACATTTCAGATAATTTGGAGTCGATTTACATATATCAGTCCGTTGTGCAGCATAATTGTCGGCGATAGTAGCCGATTTGGTCCGGATATCCGTTATAATCCAATCTTATTATTATCTTTCTACGCCGATTGAGACACAATCCAAACATGGGTTAACAGCATATTCTTCTAAACTTGTAATTCCATTTGCTTGTAATTCCATTTTCGAACGATTTATATATTTTGTATGTCCAACTCATGGTAATATAGAAATTTTGGTCCAATTTATTTGAAAAAAATGCGAAATTTGATCAAAATAGAAAATTTGGTCACTAAAAACATTTTTTAAAAAATCTACGACACTATTAGTT